CTTGGTTTAAAGAATTCAGTGGTACGTTATTTTAAGTTCAAAACATAAGTGTAGACCAGAGTTAATACATGACAGAAGAAATACATCAGTACCCTGTGGATCCCCGTATGAAATAAAATCCATGTAAATTGCGACAATTCCAGCCTGGGCCCTTTTATTGGTTTTCTGTACAAAATGAAGACATGAGAAGTGACACATTTCTCTGTAGGATTACCTAGAGATTTTAGCCTCTTCATACATTTAAATGAAGTGTCACATTGACCATCAGAAGTTTTTTTAATGTAAGGGTGTTTAGAAACAGACAGTTGGCTCCAAGTGCTCAACCCTTGTGTTCCGTGTGTCACCACCCTTCCTTCCCCAAGCCTGGCTGTGAGGAAGTTGCCTCATTAAGCTCTCCAGTCTGAAGCTGCTTGTAAAAAAATCTGGCTTATTTTCAGAAGGACCACTGTGCACTGTGAGTTAAAGAAGAGATTCTTATACCAGAAAAAAAGGTGCATTGCAAGTGTAGTGTATTACAAGAGCCTCCAAACTAGTGCCCGTGCTCTTTCTTGCATGTGAAAATGCCTTCACCACTGAAGTGACTTGTTGCTATCACCTTGTCACAAACAGTTCAGTGCCTACAATGGACCTAAAACCTGCCCAAGCTTTAACAGGGGATTTTCTTTATCTGACTTTCTGATAGCTTTTGCCAGATAGGTACCTCGGAAGAAATGCCGAGGAATTCATCCAGCTCCCATCGTTACACAAGCAGTTCTAGTATTAGGAAATCACAAAGCCACCAATAATATAAGAGCAGGCCCCAGATATAAAAAAAAACATTTACCTGTGGTAGAGAACCTGCTTTGGCAGGGGAGTTGGACTAGATGATCTCCTGAGGTCCCTCCCAACCCCTACAATTCTGTGATTCTGGTTAAACAAAAGTACATATTCTTACCTTAAAAAAATCAGCTTTGCCAGCAGCAGCAGGCAAGTGGTGACACAGAAGCCCTTCTTAACTTCTGCTAAAAAGAAAGGAAGAACCCCATGAGGTGAGGCATGCTGAAATCTTGCTTATCTGTCCTGAATCTCATCACCAGGAAATCTAGTGTGCTCACATTTTACTGCATCTTCAAAGGCAGTTGCCTCGATCTCTCACTTCTGAGGCTTCCTGCTCCAAGTAAGTTAAATACTAAAACTTCTCTTCTCTCCAGGAGCAGGAGTTCAGCAGACATCAGTCCCTGGCTGATGAGAGCTCAGGCAGGGACAGGCAGCTGCCCAGTGCTCCACCTGCCAGGCAGCTCTGGGAGGCCTGGGTTTAGGCGTACCCTCCTCCTTCAAACCCCTCTGTAACGAAGCCAATGTGTGAAACATGTTTGGTAACTGCATGGTTTTTTGATTAACCTCCTGCTGGCACAGTTGCCACATGAGGAGTTTTGCAGCGTGGGACACTGGGAAAGGCAGCAGGCATTGGTGTGGGATGGAGACAGGGATGCAGCTCAACCTGGTCTACTGAGGGACACAGCACGGGCACTGGGACAAGCTGGTGTCCTGTCTCAGGGCAGGGGAAGGAGTGACCAGGCACGCTGAGACCAGCATTTTCCAACACAGCCTTCCTGCCATTTCTCTGGAGTGGTCCTATCTGTAGTACACCAATAATACCTGCATCCCATTGAGTTGACTTGACATTTCAGGTGCTCCATGGTTCTGAGCCCCAGGGTTTTTCACTGCTTGCAAATGATTGTGATGATGCACCGGCTGTGGCAATGCAGTGGTAGTGCCCATGAGATGCCTCTGATCTTCCAAGATCATAATTTCTGTTCACAAGAGAGTCGGGATGAATTACAGGACTAAGGGAATAGGGGCACAACCCAGAGGCAGCTACAAAGAGGTCAGGGTGATCTCTGCAATAAATCTGAGCAGCAGTTGTTCCAGTGTACAGGCAAGGACTGGTGCAACCAAAAGCAGGTAGCAGCACTCTCTTGGTGTGCTGTGGGCTACACTGGTGCCTGCTGGAGCTCAGGAGCAGAGTGCTGTGCTTTGTGAGACAAGGAGCCTACAGCCAGTCACCTGAATGGAGTGCTCAGTGCTCCCCAGGCCATCTTAAACAAATCCTCCGTGTCCCAGCTTAGGCATCATGCTTCATTGGTATTTTGACTCCATGACAGTTACCACTGTCGTGGCACTTATGTACCATTTTTCCTGTAACCTGGTTCCCAGAGGATGGATGCGTGGGTGCCTGGGCTGGCAGGTAACTCCCGAGCACCCCTGCAGGGACCCTCCATTGCTCAGCCAGGCTTAGATGCAAACAGGGATGGCAGTTGTCTTCCTCCAAAGCACAGACCTCCTTGATCATGAGAGCTCTGCATGAATGCAATATGCAGTTTTCTGAGCCATGTATCTTGGGCTGCATTTCCCTTGAGGATATCAAGAGGTATCTGAGCCCCTCCTCCATGTACCATGCTGAATTCTGCTTACACTTAATCTTCTCAAAAAAACCCACAACTACTGGAAACTTTGGTTAAGAGTTGGCTAATGTTGGTAAAATTACCTGCTGTCCTTTCCTTGGACATAGCAGCATGGTTTTTGTTGTGGTTTCTCCTTTTCCATAAAAAAAGCCAACCTGAGGCAGAGAACAGGGTGTGGGAGTTTATCTCCAGTGACTGAAACCTGGGAAAGTTGCTAGCAGTGAGAAGCATTGCTTACAGCAGAGCTGCGTTGGCATAGGTACAGTATGGCTGCAAGCCAGTTAACTTGACCACAGCTCCTTTTTCAGGGGCAGTCCCACAGTCCCCGGCTCTCTGGAGAAGAGGAAGGCTCGGTCTGCCCGCCGCACACACACGATGTCGCAGCAGAGGTTTTTCGTGTCACCGTGCCCCATGCTCTGTTTCACTGTGGTGTTACTCACTGTGCTGAAGGAACAAACCTCTGAGTCAGATCATACACAAGTAGCCCACTCGGGAGATTTTGATGACATCTCGCTCTGGCTTTAGCTGGTGTGGTCTGCATCACCATCAATATTTTGATCTCTAATAATACCACCAAGCATCTCATCCAGTCCCTTTTTCCTGGGTCAGTCTGAAAAGCTGTCCCTCACAGCCTCCTTTTGGCAGATGCACCTTCAGAGAAAGGTTGTGATGCTTTCATTATATTAAGGAGGACAGTTTCATGACAAGGAGAGGACATGATTTTGCAGCGAGCGGCTGCTGGCTAGCAGCCAAGAAAAATGGGTGTTTGTGACCCACCAGCGCTAGTGGAGCCTATCACAAACATAAATGTCGTCAGCAGAACAGATACTCTGCGTTTGACGTGTTTTCCCAGTCTGGCTAGGATAACAAATTAAACCTCTGTACATGAATATTTCAAACTCTCCTGAATAACCTGGTGTTGCATGGAGAAAGTGGGCGCTGTTGGTCAGAGCCCAGCTGCCCAGCGTTGCAGTTGCATCCCATCCTGGGTTCCCAGGCTGACACAAGTGCCCGTGGGACCCTGTGGAGATCAGTGCCCAGCTCTGTGTTTCAGCTTCCCCTGCCTGAAAGTGGGAATGGTGACGCTGGGTCTCACTACCCCTGCCAGATGCTGCCAAGGCTCTGGTTAAAATACTCTGCTGCTGTAAAGCTCCTGCTACCAAAAACCACATTGCTCTACTGCCTGAAGTCTTCGGGAAACACCCAGCTCTTACACAGACTGTGAGGTGTCAGTGAGTTTACAGCATCAGTACCTTTTCCAGTCCTGTAGAAGGACTCCACAGGGATGCTTGTACAAAATCCCATTTATCGTCGCACTACCTGCCCACCTACACACTGTCATATTGATACCCTCCCAGTCAGTCCCAGGACGCGGCACATCATTGACATTGTTTTTACACAGTCATGGCTTGTGTTTGATTTTTCACTTTCTGCTATAACCAAGTGTTTGTCAATGGTTTTTCATGCTGCTTTTTTTTGTAAATGACCCTATTATTTGGCCTTCCAGGATATTATCAAGAATGCAGAACATCCTGTAATATTTTAATGGTTGTCTTCTTCATCACTGTGTCTGGTTTAAGTGTGGCGAATCCTTCACATTTATTTGTTTATTTATACTTCATGTTTATTGCGGGACTTGTAATGTGCAGAGCTCCCAAACTTGTGTTGTTGTACTGTATCTTGCTCTTTCTCCAAGTGGTGTGTAGCATTAATTGGTAATGTAGTGGTCTCTGAGGCTTGTCTGTGCATTTTTGATTTACATCTTTTTCTAGTAGATGGCCTTGCTTTAATGTCTTCTGTGAATTATTGCCAGTAACTATTCCTGGGGCTGTTAAAATAGTCCTGCTCTCCGAGTGAAGGTGTGATAGCATTCTCTACCCCTACCCCTCCTCCTCCTCTGCTGCTGAAGTCACTTTTCTTCTCTGAAATGTGCTCAGAGAATGAGCACATGACATGGCTGCATGTTTGGGGCTGCATCGTTCATTCCCCTTGCGTGAATTTTCACAGATAAACAGACTCTTCTTTTGCCTTTGCCTTGGGGACCCTAATGCGTGACCGATAAAAACTCAGCGACAGAGCACTGCCCTGTTTCGGGGTCCTCAAAACTCCTCCTTCACTTTGATCTACCACCCATTTGCTTGATGGTAAAACTGAAGCGCCTCTGTCTGTGTGATTTTGATATAACACATGTTGGTTATTTCAAGAAAAAAATGCAGCTTTTTTGTAGTGAAGACCAACCCAAGTCGCTTAACCCTGCACAGGAGAATGCAAAAATTCATATACCACACACTTCGTTTTTTGCAACACTTTGGGTTCCTGCTCCAGAGGACAACACAAATAATCAAATCCAGGTAAAATACTGAGATTTGGAGACTGTAATAAATATGGCATTATCATTGTTTAACCCAGGTCGTTTGTACGCAGCGATTATCTGTGAGAATTCAAGGTCATTTTCTGTCACAGCAGACGCTCCTTGGGAATACCAGATTGATGCTCTTCCAACTTCTAGTAGCTCTGTATCTCCACTAACAGATCAATTTCCTTTCTCTCCTCTAGGACTGCCTTAAAGCTTGTCAAGAACAGATCGAGGCGGTGCTAGTAAACAGCCTTAGGCAAGTCCGGCAGCAGCAACAGCAAAGCAATCCTTCTAAGACGGTGGACGAACTGGACCAGGCCAGCACTCCCACAGATGTGAGAGATATCAACCTGTGAGGACATCGGCACGGAGAGTCACGCTTGCTTCCCTCAGCCCTTTTATTTTTGTTATTATTTTTAGAGTGAAATCTTTTTTTTTTTTTTATCTGCTCCCACATAGAACATATTTAAAGCTCTTTTAGGTTAAAAAAAATACAAAAACTGATTAATGAAAAAAAAAAAAAAAGCATTTGGTGCCTGTGATGTTCTACAGAAGGGAATCCCACAATATATTTGGTAATTGCTATTTGATTATGTATCAGTGATATTAAGTGCTTATAAAAGCATACAAAGTAGCTAGATAAATGTAAGCCTGCGTTTGTGGGAACAAAGTAGAGTATACTTGTCTGTGTATTATGACCTAGTGCATACACCCCTTTTTTATATTTAAGAAAGGAATCGTGTGTGCGATTTTATGGCTTGACTAGATTGCAAAGCAATAGAATAAGGGGTTTAGGGCAAAGTGGGAAAAGATCCCTGAAGCAATTGAACCATTTTGAATGCAGAAGAGATTTGCTGATCTGTCACCTCTGTTATTAGTCAGAAGTGTTTGTTGGATCTCTGTATGTTAGTTTTGTTTACTCTTGCTGTCTGTGGTAGCTGCTACCTAAGAAAGAAGATGCTTTATTTTGCCAGCCGGAAGAGCAGGTGGTGTTTTTTGGGTTTTTGTTGTTTGGGGGTTTTTTGTGGGGTTTTTTTGTGGGGTTTTTTGTTGGTTTGGGTTGTTTTTTTTTTTTCTTCAAATTCCTCTCTCCCCTCTTGACTTTTTCTACTTTTCCTTCAGAAATGGTTCATTCTAAACACAGCAGCATCTTTGGCATAAGGGCAATCCCGTTTACCCAACTGTGGGCCAAGCCAAAGTTATCGAGTCTTCACGTTAAATGGGGGAAATGCACCAATAAATTCCGACCAGTCGGCTGATATTCAGACCGCCTCCGACATTTGGATTGCAAGATGCGGTGGATCATCTGTGAAAAGCATTATATCCCTTTACAGTGCTAATGCTTCACGTCAGTGTTTACTTTTGGCAGCTCCTTAGCTTGGCCGTAAAGACATTTAAATAATGCTGTGTCCATCTCCCTTTTTAACATAATCTCACTGTGTTAAAGAAGATGAGATTTGGTTTGATCCCTCTTTGACCTACCCATCTTTCCCCGCTGTCCCCCGCACATTTTTTCAGCATTTCATTAATTTTCTTGATCCACAGTGAGCGTTTTTGTAAACCATTTCATTCGAAAAGCACTTTGAAAATTGTTCCTAAGGGATTAAATGAGATGGTTTATGCCGATTTTGCCGAGGTAAAAAAGAAAAAAAAAAAAAAGAAAAAAAAAAAAAGAAAGAAAAAGTCCCAAAAACAAAGCATATAGCTTTTTATAGTCAATATTTTCCAGTATCTGGTGTACTTGGTTAGTTGCAGTGTTGCTGGAAATACCAACACCTGCTTCAGATGACATTCCTGTCATGACATTCCGGATAAAAACCTGACAATTTGTATTGTTCAGTGTCACAGAAGGATCTTAATACCACCTGCATGCTTATCTATGGACAACAAAAGAAAACTGCTGGTGCAAAAGACACGAGTGGTAAACATCAAGGTGTGTGACTTGGAGTTTTATTACAAAGGTGTATTCAGTGTACTTGAATTTATTTTTCTGCTCCATCTGTAACGAAGAGGCATTTAGATGGCAAAGGAGTTGGAGCAACTTTTTTTTTTTTTTTTTTTTTTTTTGCACAATTGTATTAACAGTTTTCAAATATACAGGATGAAGCTGTTGGTTGAAATGTTAATGTTTGCATTTTAAAGACAAAAGTCCAGAAAGATCATGCTACTTCGAAGAATATTATATGAATGGACTCAGCCGTATTTGGCTAGATGAGGGTAGAAAATGGAGTAAGAGTCTAAGGTTTTGTTGGGTTTTTTTTTTTTTTTTTTTTGGTTTTGGGGGGTTTTGGTTGGTTTTGGTTTTTTTTTGCGCTGCTAAGAAGCTATGATTTGTTTCATTCTTATTCACATTAACAGTACTTAGCTGTATTGTTTCACTGAGTGTGCTGCTATTTTATAAACATTTTTATAATATATTATTTTACTGCTTAAATTTCAAATCCTGAAGTAGATGGTTAAGTGGAGATATGATGAGTTCTTTGATTTACTGGAAATGCCCTGTACAGTTGTTTTGTTTTGTTTTTTTTTTTTTCCTAATAGCGTGTTCATGATTTTTTTATTTTATTTTATTTTATGTTTTACTTTTTTCTTTTCTTTTTTTTTTTTTCCTTCCTTCCTGATCACATCCTGCAAAGACGGTATACTTACCTCAGGTTTACTGGACAAAACAGAAATGGTTCCCATTTTCACAATACCTCACAACGTGACAGTTTGGTGTGTTGCTGAGGCCCGCGCTCCGGCCGCGCTGGGGAGAGGTTGCAGGCAGCCGGGGCGCTGGCTCCCTTTCGGTCTTTGGTATCCTTCTCATAGTGGAAAAAATGCATTGACTCTCCACCGGCAGCTTTGCCGGAGCAGGTCCGTGTTTCCCAGAACTGGTGGTGGGGACAGCCTTGTTCTCACCGCTGTCACCTCCCACCTTGATGTTCCACGTTGGGAGCATGAAGTGGAACGTGAAGTTCCATGTTGGGAGCGTGAAGTTCAGCGACGGTGTCTCTCATGGAGGAAAAAAATAGTTGAATTGTGGAAGCAAGACTCCGGAGCTGCGTGCAGTGTGTGTATGACACAGATCAGATCATTCGCTGACAGCCCTCCTATGTTAGCAAACATGGCTTCACGGGGCGGCGTGCCGGGGGGTCCCCAGGCGGTGGGATGCCCACTCCGCATGATGGGCTGTACCACCGCTGCCCGCAACGCGTGCAGGAACTGCAGCCATCGCGTTTGCCTGGTGTGCTCCCCTCTGCGCTGTAGGTTGAGCGTAGGCAGGAGTAGTATTTAGGGTGCCTGCCCCTGCTCTTTGTCCCACCTGCGGTGCCCCGGCCCCACGCGGGGATCCCCTCCTGCAGTATTGTCCCCCCAGGGGTCTGCAGCACTGATGGGGAAGGGTGGTGAGGTCCACCACTGAGGTGGGCTCCTCGTGTGGTGGTCGGAGGGGCAAGGAGTGGGTGTGGGAGTTGCAGTGTCATTCGGCAGCCCCGGTCGCTTGTGGCATCCCGGCGGGTCTGCCTGGTTCCCAGCTGGGGGTAAGAGTGTCCTCGGCTGCAGCGACGTGCTCCAAAACTGCTACCATCAGGTTACACCCAGAGCGTACTGTATTGGAAGTCTGGAAGACCTAGAACTTGAGCATTTTCACACTAGCATTCAAAATCAAAATACTGCATAGTACTTCTTTCTAACAGAGGTTAAAAAAAATGAATACTGCTGTTGCAAATGAGGTGTGAGATTTTGTTTTCCTCTGAATTGCAGAAATCATAAACCTTCCTATTGATTAATTAAAAAAAAAAAGTTGCTGATTATACCTTCACGATTACCAAAGGATTGGCACAATTGCTAAAAGCGTTTCTCTTTTGGCTTCCTATTGATGGTACTTTGATGATCTTCCCCTCCCTTCTGTTACTGTACTGTAGAAGCACCTCGTAATCAATTCATTTATATTCCCAACATGCTTGTGAAAGAGAATTAATCCCATTTTAATATCGATGATTTATGCTTGAATAATCAGACAGCTCTTAATTACTCAGCAAACCACCTGGCCACTGGATTTTTTCCACTATGTTGATTACCATGTTCTCATGTACCTCAGAAATCACTCTCGGTTGCACAGTTTCTGTTCTCAAACTTTTTTTTTTTTTTATTTTTTTTATTTTTTGCTTTATCGAGTGTGATGCCATATCAAGTCAATGTTATTCTCTCACAATGTGCTCTTTAAGAGGTGTGGATGTTTATATGGTCAGGGGATGCTAGAAAGTGCGGTAGTAGACATGATCAGTGTAAACAAAAGTATTTAGAAAGTATGCGAGATTGTTTTTGATGGATAAGATTCTGATCCAGTGTAGTCTTGATTACCTTTTAAAAGGTCTTCTTTGTTCAGTGTTGTCATTTTTATTAATAACCTGTTGTTTTGGGTAGTTTAAAGATGGTTCTAAGAAAAGTGTTTTGGCGGGATTAGGTATGATGTATGGACAATAAACTCACCTTGACCTAAATTTGCCTAGCTTGGTTTTGTTCATTCAATGTGAAGATGGTGCAAAAGGAGACGTGATCCTGTGATTCTAGGTAGAGGGTGTTAGCAGGCATATAAAACGTGAACTGTTGAATGGTGCAGTCACAGAATAAGTTTTCCTCTAAAACTCAGCTCATTGCCTAGTGGATGGGCAAATTCTGGCATGTTTCTTGCTTGAAATGGTCCCATGAGGTTTTAGGACAACAAAGGCCTAAAAACGGTAAGTTGCTGTATCGAAACGTTCTGTGTAACTTTTAATTGAGCTGGTGGAAAAGTCATCGTAACTTCACAGCATGCACGTTTTTGCAACTAATTGCAATATTGTTTAAACCTCCACTCAGTTATTGGTTGCATTTAAAAGGCTACGGCAAAAATTCTGTTGTTTTTCTTTCTGTAAGCTTTGGGCAAAGTGTGAGTGAAAGGAGAGGGCTTTGTGGTGAAGCCAGCGGGAAGAAAGGAGTCTCCATGCAACTGAAATTAAGCCAGTGGGAAGAAAGGCGTCTCCTTCCTCAGCCTGTGCCCAGGAGGCAGGACACTCGCTCTCGCCCTCTTCCATGTTTCCTGCTGGTGGATGCTTGCTGTGAATTGACCAACCTCCTGTGTGATGTACTTAGCCTGACCTCGGCATCTCTCCTTCTCAGCGGCCATCCAGTACCAGTCTTCTACTTTTTTTCAAAGTTTCAGGCTTTTGAGCACCCCTGGGGACAACAAAGAAGCAACAAAGAATGAAGAAGAGGTATTTGGGCAGACACACTGGGGAAAAAGTAACACCATCATAAACTGAATAATACAGACAAAAACAGAGAAGAGAAATAAAAGGGAAAAAACAACAAACCACCAAACCAAACCCAGGATGTAATGAACAGGGAGAAGGAAAAGTAACTCAAAAGGAAAAACACATGTTGCTAAAATGAAGAAACATAACATAAAATAAACAGATAGGGACAAATAGAAAATAAATCAGGGATAGGATAGGAAGTATGAACTGAATCATGAAGTTGTCAGTCAGGAGATACAGACCTTTCATTATACATTGTCATTATACAAACTTGGGAGTTGTAGCTTTAGCCAAAGTCTCTCAAAACTTGCCTGGAAAGTGACCTGTGAGCCTTGTATTTCAGAAGTTTTCTGCACCAACAAAGGTGGAGGTATGAAAGCATCACCAGTCCTCGTGTTCCTCTGGCCACCATGTAACAACTTGACCAGCAACCTGCAGCACTTCATAGGTGTAACTTAGAGCCTGTGAAGAACTGGAACTTGGGAGGGTTGTTTTTACACCTTCCATTTGAGGTTTAAAGTTCAAAGGGGTGCTCTCTGGCCTAATTTCAGGTTTCAGGGGATTAATTCCTTTCCCACTATAGTGTCACCAGTAGTCCTCCTGGAACTGCAGGGATGTGCTCCACAGCTTTGCATTTTAAGAGGCTTTACTAAATCTAGGTTTAGCAG